CATATATTTTATTAATTTTTTCATATTTTATTCTGTAATTTTATTACTTCAATTCAATTTATTTTCATTATTTATTATTTATTAAAAAAATACTCAGTTGAATAAACCGAGTATTTATTTTTTCTATTAATCATGACAAACCTAAATGATTTGCCATATGAAATATTCCTAATTATATTTTGTCTCTTACTCTTTGATGAAAATAAAATCACGATTTTTGATTATCCTGTATGCCGATCATGGAAAGCTTTCTACGACCGTTAATTTACCTCATACAGAGAAAAATATTATTTTATCAATCAATATTTTAAATTTTTTCGGGTTGATCCACCTATTTTCGAATTCTCAGTCTCGATGGAAAGTGATCTTATAAAAATAATATATGAATTTGATGATGTTTATAAAAATACTTACGTTAAATTCGGTGGAATTGATGATATTTACTGTCGAACGACAAAACATCTGAACATTCCAAAAGATTATCTATCGGTTAAGTTAGTTAAGTTAGTTACTAAAGATGAATATGAATAGTTATTAGTATATTGTCAGGTATGTATGAAGAGAAAAATATGTGTGAATTCGGGTTATCAATTAGGATGTAAAGTTCTAGGATGCGAATTTCGACATCGTAATATTTTACATATACATATTTTATGCGCATACTGCTATTAATTAGAAGAAATCTTTGTTTCAGTATTTATACCGAATAGAAATTTATCTTTGTAATTTAATATACCTCGTCAAAAACGTACAAAGAAGAAACCTTCTCCTTATTCTATCAAACAAAAAGATAACTTTAATATTTTACCAAACGAATTATTTCTTTTGATATTCTTATTTCTGATCCCAAATGATATCACCAAATTCTCAAAATACAAGTTAAATGATCGGAGATTCATCGATTTTCAAAAGACAAAATTTGTGAATCAGCAATTTCTTTGGTTTTATAGATATTATTTTTCTCAATATGGAACAAAATATTGCTTGATACAAAAATATAATCAACTTTATTATCCTCCAAACATTATAAATAGAATATTCGATACTGTAAGCATATTTGGATCGAAGTTGAAGTCGATGAAAAACAATCAACATAGCATATACTTCGCTATACTGATCGCTATGCTGATTTTGGAAAGTTGTATTGTATGTCACATGGTGATATTTTATTATTTATCGAATCAGGTAAAGTTGATGGTTATGGGAAAAAAATATGCGATATCTGCAAAAGTTTTACATATTGTGCAAAATGCTCCTATGAATTTCGAAGAGATGATGTATCAGAATTAAGAGATAAATTAAAAACAGTTCAATCAGAATATACTATAGGGGGAGGATATATAGCGTATTTTGTAAGAAATTGTAAAAAATGCTGAGAGCATTTATTATTATTAAATTTCGATTATACTGATAATCTTAGCCATTTTGTATAATATAAACCCGTTCAGTTTAATTACCGAATGGAAATTTAGATTTGTGAGAAATGTTATAAAATTTATTCACCTAAATTAGAACGATGATTTAATTAAATCGATAATAAACAGAATATATAAAATCTCTGTTCAGTATTTATACCGAACAGAAACTTATCTTTGTAAATTAATAGGATGTCTTGTCAAAAATGTACAAAGAAGAAACATTTATCACCTTATCATAAAACAAATAAAAATAAATTAAAATTTAATGATGTGATAATAGATGATATATTACTTTTGATATTATTATTTTTGATTCCTAACAATATAACCAAATCTTCCAAATTCAAACTCAACGATCGAAGATTTATCGATTTTCAACAAATCAAATTTGTGGATAAACGATTTTATTCTTTTTTCTATTATTATTTTTCTCATTACAGAACTAAATATTATTTGATACAAAAGTATAACAACTATTACAAACCACCGAATTAATTTAACTAGATGAGGATTCGTTATTGTAAGAAAAAATATTGATTGATATTGATAAAAAGAAATATGTTGAACTCCGATATTATGATGGAAAACCACACTGTAGATTAAATGATGAGACTTTAATATTTCTTGAATCAAATAAATTCAATGAATATGGGAAAAAAAAATGTGATGTTTGTGGGGATTTCACGTATTGCGCTATGTGTGTTTACGATTTTCACAGAAATGATATATCTGAATCTAAAAGAAAATTGGAAAAAATTACCTAACCATTTATTGTTGGAACTTATATATGTTATTACATAAAGAATTGTATTGAATGTAGAGAAGATATTCTATCATCAAATTCAAAATGGAGTATGGAGGAAGATTTGATAGTAAAATATAAATATTTAAAATAATCTTAAGAACTTACCGAACAGAAAATTATTTCATCAAGATTAGAAATTGCTATGAAAAAGGAATTGGTTCATCTTCCCAGAACA